CTGATTCATAAAATGTGAATTTATAACAGTTGCTATTTTTTTAAGAACCTGAGTAATACACAACTGATGCATTCTTAATCACTTTTCCGTGTTACATCTGTGTTTTCTGACAGTGTATCTACCCTGTTTTGAAAATAGCTGGGTTACAAAGTGCAGTACTAAACATAGAGAAAGGACAATTCCAGAAGAACAAATGATAGTTTAATTTAGTCTGACATTACCAGTTGGTGGGGGGTCTCACTTGCCATGGATGGACAATATTCACCACTTAGGTTGGGCAAATTCCCAGGATGCCATTTGACAGTGTAATAGGGGAGAATATGTCACTGATGCCCATTTGCACTAGAGACATAAAAAAGGCCACATATTCCACTCTAGTTAAGTTCAGCTCAGTTGCTACTTTGTTTAAAAATGAGAGCATTACACCAGTATCAACGAAACATGTCCAGATAAAGATGAATGATATATAAGGAAAATATAAATAAAAATTGTCTTCTTTTAAGGTAATACCTGTGATCAAAGAATTCCAGAATTTAAGACAAGATTGAGTTTTTAGAGATGGCTTAATTCAATGCTTTCTTTTGCAAAAGAAATTCCAGAGAAGTTGTAACTTTCCCAAAATCACACAATAAATCAACGGAGGGGGTAAACCAAAATTCCACTTGACCACGTCTTTGACAAATAATAGAAAGATTAGAAGTTATTACTTAATTCCATGTAATGAAGCTAAGCCATTTCTTCCATAGGTTCTATTAAGTTTGGTTTAAGTTTCCCTGGTTACTACATTCATGTTCAAGGAATTAATGACTTAACTACAGGGAGAACTCTAGAATACAAGAACCAGAGAAAACCTCAACAATCATGTTCGTCCACTTTGGTTTCTCATCAAGATAAAAACTTCTTGTCAAGACAGCTTTTGTTAAAATAAGAAGCTAATAACATGTTAAATTCCTTCCAAAATAAAGTAATGACATTTATGTATGCACTTGGATTTGGGTTTTCCAAATAGCATGTGTATGAGTGTGTGTATGTATGTATGTCTGTGTCTATGTAGACATTTAACACAATGCTCCTGTACTCAAAACAACACAAATTTCAAATAACAGTGCAAAAATCCAATTCTCCCACCTCACATCCATTACAATGGGTATTATAAAAAATGTGGTGTAGACATACAAGAGTATTTTATTGGTCTTAAAAAGGAAATAAATCTGAGGACTGGGGATGTGGCTCAGCTCAGAGGTACCATGTCTGCCTGGCAAGCGCAAGGTCCTAAGTTCGATCCCCAATGATGAAAAAAACACAACAACAAAAAAGGAAATAAATCTGGTCAAAATACTACAGGTGCAAATTCCCTATGATAAGTGTTATCATTATGTATATCTAAAGTGTGTCAGTAGGGCTGGGGATTTAGCTCAGTGGTGCCACTGCCTGACTCACAAGCTCAAGGACCCCCACCAGTTCGATCCCCAGTACCAAAAAAACAAAACAAAAAAAACCCACACACACACCAAAACAAACAAACAAATAAAATGTATAAATAATATTTTGCTTATTAAAAAAGGTCATTTAGATTTGATCATAAAAAATATAATATGGGGCTGAGGATTTAGCTTAGTGGTTTTGCCTCCTGCCTCACAAGTGCAAGGACCCAAGTTCGATCCCTGTACCAAAGGAAAAAAAAAGGAAAAAATTCAATATGGGTAAACTTAAAAGACATTATGCTAATTAAAATAAGACAGTCACAAAAAAATGAATACTGTAGTGTATGATTTCACTTCTTTGAGGTATCTAAAAGAGTCAGAGACAGAAAAGCCTCTGAGGCAGAAAAGTCAGACAGAAAACAGAATGGTGGTTGCTGGGGGCTGGGAGGAAGAAGAATAAGGAGTTAAGTGTGTGTTATAGCTGGAGTTTCAGTTTTTCAAGATGAAGAGCTATGAAGATGATATGGATGGCTGCAAAACATTATGATTATGAGTATATTTAATACTACTAAAATGTACACTTAAAGATAGTTAAGATAATACATTTAATGTTCTGCGTATTTATCATAATTTTAAAAACAGGAAAAATATAATTCTGTCTCTCTTGACCTAATGTGCACCCCCACTACCAGCCCTAAGAATCCTCCTTCCTCTTTATTTCCAAATGCCTATCAGTGAGGGAAATAAGGACCATTATTATTTCCATTCTTTCTCTCTATAACAATATCCCTATTGACTCAAGAAAGCATGTGGGGGTAGGGATTAAGGGCAGTATGACTTCTGATTAACTTTCACACTGCAATACAGCACTATTCTTTAAACATCTTTTAGTTATATTTACAACTCCTGAATAACAACAACACGAAGGCTAGAGAAATGATGCCTGTATATTTTAGAGTATACCCAAAATTGAGCAAGTTTGGATTCATCCTGGGTTTGAGCAACTAATTCTGATCCTATGTATCATCAAAGATTCCTTTATTTCTCTTCCTTGTTTTTCTTCTTCATGAGTGTGTCTGCTGTTGAATCATGTCCATGCCATTCAATGATTATCTCATTATAATGAGGTCAGCATGGAGCAACTTACTCTGGTCTGCACTGTTCCCACCAGCTATGAGAAAGTATAAGTAATGATGCCCAGAATTAAATTAAAACAATGGTAAATATTCTTTGAAAGATATAAAAGAGTGAAGCAAGCAATTTTACTGAGGTGAATGTCATTTCAAGAAACTAATATGTGAACTACAAAAATAATGTTATTAATTGACACTTGACAAACTTTAATCAAAAGGTTGAATGTTCTTGGCAAAATTAACTTGACACCTTGCACTATTGAATACTAACTATTCAAGGAGACAAAAAACACATAACACTTTGCTCCCATTGGAGAAATAAAACCTTACCGGAAATGTCATAATAAGTGACCAATTCTGATTCTGTATTATGATTCATTGTTGTCTCTTGAGTAGAAAAGGCTAAAAGGTCTTGGGTATATTGCATAATCCAAAACTCAATCACAAGTTCAGCACTAGTTCAGTGTTCATTATAAAAGGTAAAAACGCTAGTGTTGTATAGCAAAGGCTTTAGAGCTATATTCAAATATCAACTATCACTATGTATTCAAGTTATTTGAACTCTTTGTACTTCTGTCTTCTCATCTATAAAATGAGGTTTATAATAGAATTAAACTGTAAGGATTTTTTTCCTTGGAAAAATAAAATTCATAGTGAGCTCTCACAGCAGGGACTGATATACTCTAAGTGCTTAAACAATATTCTTTACTATATCAATTCAATCTATTAATACAGAAAGTCTAATGAAATCATTTTTGAACCTGCTTTTTTACTGTCTTACTAAACAGTTATAGGATATTAACAAATAGTGACTTTTAAACCACTAGACATTTCTTTCACACTTCCCTATGACCTTAACGGTCATTTTTAATTTTTAGGGATTCGTTGTTTAGAATTTCAAATCATTGATAGAAAAATTATCCTCACCTAAAGAGAACATGAATACTTTGTCAATTATTGTAAATGCAACTAAGGTCTACAAAAAATTTCAGTGATGTCATATTTCTCATATTATATGCTCTTTATATGAATGCCAGGGAATATTTACAGACTTTAAATGATAGATCACCATCAAGTGTTTTAAGCCCCTATTTTCATGATGATGGCATTTCATTAAGCACCACTGAAAGAAAGTTGTTAAAACTTAACTGTTTTTTCTTCTAAGCCTAGTGTATTTTTAAATCAAGCCACAGGGAAATACTTTTGTTTCTATTCAATCAAGACCTGCACACCGAGTTTATGGAATGACATAATATCCTTCCTGAAATCAGGCCAGTATGTAGGACCAGTATCCTTCACACATAGCCAGTTCCTGAACCCTTACAAACAAATCCCAATTTCCAAGGAAATAATCTCATCAAATGCTGCTCACTAGAATACATATTGTTCCTTTTGGAAACGTTACAATAAGATTTTTGTGATTACAAACCTTAACTTCCCTTCTGAAATTCAATATCATCTTAAGCTCATTTATTTAAGTGGAAAGTGCCTCTTTATAATGACTCTAGAAATTCCTGGTAAATTTATGTAGCATTAATATAATAATTTAGTTATAATTTTAGTCTGGGAAAGAGGTGGTTATTAACTGAGTGTGTGTGTGTGTGTGTGTGTGTGTGTGTGTGTGTGTGTGTGAAAGGGGGGGCTGACTTTTAAATGGACATTAATTAGAAGCTACTTAAGAACATTCATTCGTCTTTCACATTCTATAGACCTATAAGAAGCATGTTTTAAGATTTCTTTGGAGAATGGTAAGTTTTAGTAATGTCCAGGTTTCCAGACTGTTAAAGCCTATCTAGCTGCTTGTGGTCATTTATTCTCTCCTTTTCATCAGAGCAAGTTAGTGCTTCTGTATATAGGTCACAGGATTTGTTTTGAGGTGAACAGACATATTTATTTCTTACAAGAAAAACAATATACACGAATCAGTGGCAACTACTGACATAAATACAAACAGGAAGAGAATGTGATTTCTAGTTGTCAAATCAGTGGCTTTAAGAATAGAAGTCTTACTGTCTTTTCTTCTCTGAGGACATTCTAAAAATTGTGAGCGGAGTTAGCATTAGTTCCTTGCCCTTTCGCTAATTAAATAAACAAGCATCAATGTTTTAAATGTGACCGAGTGTCTTTACCTGCAGTAAACATCCAAAATACACACCGAGTCAACTTTTCTCATTTGTTTTGTAGACACGTGTAAACTTTGGAATTTATGATTCAATGTTTTACCATGACGGTTTTTTATGCATTTTATGTCGTTATGCGGCAGCCAAGTTCTGTCACAATTTGCTTAAAACTGCAGCCTAAAGTTATTTTAAAAAGTTATGCGCGGTATGACATAGAAATCCACATTTTGTACATTGAGAACAGTAACTAAAAACTGGGTTAGCATGAAACAGAACTAAGAGAAATCGGTATTAGCAACAGCTTTCCACTGCCAGCAACTCACCTTGTTGAATTTTAGTCACTAGCTGATGGCGTGCTAGAATCCGGCTCATCCTGTAAGGAGAGCGTCTTGTAGTCTGATCAAACCGCAAGTACATCTCCTGGCCCTCAGTTGTCATGGGATTTAGGTAGTAGCAGCTTGAAGCTGGGGTCCTGGGCATCTGCCTGAACATCACGGCAGTTTCAGTGGCCACCCCAGTCTGTCAGGGGCTGCTTCCCACTGCTTCCACTCTCAAAGGCACCGAGACCAGCAGAGCGAAGCAGACGGAGCTACTTTTTAAAAGAAAAGGAGTGCCAAAAGCCACAACTCAGAATTCCAACCCCCGGGCTCTCACGTGACCTCAGGGAGCCAATCAAAGGATGAGAGAAAACTGGGAATGTTCACAAGCCTGACAGTCGCAATTCAAGCGGCTTGGATCCCCCACATAGCTCTAAACGCAAATACAAGCATTTGACATGCCTCAGAGCTGACGAAGCACCAAAAAGCAGCACTCACTAAAAGAGTTAAAAGACAAGGAGAAAGGAAAGAGAAAAGACCGGGGAGACGAACAAGCCCTGGGCATTGCAAATCTTTCAGACTTTGAAAGCTTGAGAAAGCTACTGTGCTTTCTGCTAAGGCAGCTGTAGCCAGGTAAAAAAGATGTAATAAATGTCTTAAATAATAAAATATTTCAAATAAGTATAAACTATCATCCTTCATTGCAAAGAAATGAATTAAAGAATGCTTTTCTAGTAGAAAATAAACTTTTTACTCCTGCTTTAATACCAGGAGTAAATACACTACAGATTCCTACCCCTCGTGTGATAATGCCTAAAGGGGCTCCTACAGGTAGGAATTAAAACTCTCAAGGACAATTTCTTTTCTTTTTCTATTTCTTTCTTTTTGGACTGGGGATAGGCTCTTCCACTGGCCAGGCAGGTGTGCTGTACACCTGTAGGCTAGATCAGAAACCAGTGTGTGTTTAAGGCCACTGCTAGTAACTCAGTTTGGCCATGTCCAAGTATCTAAATAAAAGTAATTAGAATTTCCTTCCCTGCTTTTCCCCTTTCAAATCGTTTCATGTGAAGAGAAGAAAGTTAACAGAAAATATGTTATCAAATTCTGAGCCTGGAGCTAAATGAATAAGTTCTTTGATAAAAAGCATATGGCCAGGTCGCGTTTACTTTTGACTGAGCCAAACTGAAAAGCAGCCTCATCCGGTTTTATAGTTTTAATAATGAGAAACTCTCAGAAGTTTAACAGGACTGCAATTAGAATCTCAATTATTGTTCCTCTTGCTTTCTAGTGGTGGCCACCCTTAATACTTTTCCCTGGGGGAATTTTTGCTGGCCTGATTCTAGAACATACATAATCATGGCAACTGTGACTCTCTTCTGATGATGATATAAATATGGGCAAGTATTAGTTTTCAGGTTAGCATCATAGTATTGCTGATATGTAAGTTAATTAGATGTCTTGTAGACAGTTACACAGGTCCACCCTCAAGTAGCCAGCCCTCAAGGAGCCAACACAGCAAGCAGCCAACATGGAGGATAATTAAAGACACATTCACCATAGCCAGAATTGCAAAAGGAGAGGAACTACCACACCTATGTAGGATAAATAGCAATGATTGATATTCTAAATAGGTATCAATCACCTGAGTGGGGGGGCCAAGGTCTTAGCCCAGCCTTTCCAGCAAATATCCCTGACCCCCACCCTTACAGAAAATCCTTGTATGCTTGCTACATGACTTGCTCCCCCATTTGACCCCCATTTAATCAATGTTACCTGGGTGACTGTACTTGTAATCCTGTTGGTTGATCATGGTTTTGCCCCACCTCATGTCCACCTTGTAATTTTCCATTGGGTATTAAGAGTTTTGTCCCACTTTGTACCCACCTCACCACAGGGCTTTGCTGCATAAAACAACTTTGAGAAGTGGGTTGAGTGGGCAACCCACTTTCCAGTCCCAATTTTGTCTCTCTTAGACAGAAGCTTTCCTTCCCTCAATAAATATTTCCTACTCTTAACCTCCATTGTTCCTAGAATTCATTCTTCGATTTTAGAGAACATGAACTTGTGTTTCAAATATCTAGCAGGCTTGGGAGTTACATCTTTTCCCCTCTATCAATCGTAGAATAGGATAGGAAAAGCCCACTTGACCATACTGTGTACTTTTCATTCTTATTTAGGATTTGATGGAAGATTTTTGTTTACCAGAATCCTTCGTAGAATGATTTAAGATGTAGTAATTCACATCCCAAAAGCATACATGTGAATGGTAGAAAGGTTGAGCACCGTATTGCAATATTGGATGTCTGGAAGGTCAGTTAGCCAAGCTCAAAGAATCAGCCCTGGCCCTTATCTCATACAGACACCTTTGTCAGTCACTTTGTGTCGGGACTTCTGGCTTGATAACCCATCATTAGGATCATCCTGGGCAGGAAACTTTGGTTCAAGATAGACATTTGGCAATTGTCACTTTTTCACTAGGGGAGAATGAAAGAAGGGTGGAGAAAGAAGAGAAGGGCATGGGATTTGGAATGGGGAATTTGAACACGTTCCAAATAAAGGACAGTAAAAGGCAGGAAATGACGTGTAGTCATTTTATAGCTATGAATAACACTTAAAGAAAGACTGGCCATTCCTAGCGCCAAGTTTGCAATTCATTGCTTTCTTGCCTGCATTTTAAAAATGAATAGAATGATTCTTCCTGAGAAGCACTTATCCTCAGCGCATTATGGCCAGGTTATTGGGGAAACAAAAAGCACTGCCCCTAGTTTGCATAATAATAAATGTGTTGAAAGTCCTAGGGTATCCTGCTTTGAATAATACTTATATCAAGACCAAATAGGGCCCAGGGATTTAGCTCAGTGGTGCTGCTGCCTGCCTTGCAAGTGCAAGGACCTCAGTTTGATCCCTGGTCCAAAAACAAAACAAAACAAAACAAAAACTAGCAACAACAATAAAAAGTAAAGACCATATGTAAACAGATACAAATAAAACAGTATTTTCTACAATATTTTATAGATTGACAATGAAGAACAAGAATTAAACTTAAATTTAAAAAAAGGATTTTTCCTTAGCTGGGCATGGTGGCCCACGCCTGTAATCCCAGCACTCAGGAGGCTGAGGCAGGAGAATCGCCATGAGTTCGAGACCAGCCTGGGCTACATAGTGAGTTCTAGGTCAGTCTCAACTACAGAGTGAGACCCTGTCTCAAAAACAAACAACAAAAAAGGATTTTTCCCTTGATTTAGAAAAAAAGGTAATTTAGAATGAGAAAATCTAGGAAAGGTTATGAATTAAGGATTTGGTCCTGGCAGGTCATACAAAAGGTCCCTACAGTGCTATTTTGTGGTTCAAGTATTATCTAAAAATCTATACAACTTTTCTTTTCTTTCTTTCTTTCTTTCTTTTTTTTTTTTTTTTTTTTTTTTTTTTGGTACCTGGGATCAGACTCAGGACCTCGAGCTTCCCTGAAGAAGGTGGTGGCACCACTGAGCTACATTCCCAGCCCCAAACACAAGTTTTTACTATTGTCGTTTTATTTGGTTTTTATTTATTTACTTATTTTTTGGTTTTTTGACACAGAGTCTCACTATGTAGTTGAGACTGACCTGGAACTCACTGCATAGCCCAGACAGGTCTCGAACTCACAGCGATCCTCCTGCCTCAGCCTCCCAAGTGCTGGGGTGACAGGCATGCGCCACCACACCCGGCTTTATTGTCATTTTATATTTCCAAATAGTATACTTAAAGCAAATGGATAATATTATTTTCTCATTAGTGTGTTATTAATGCCTTGTTTTTCTGACATTGCTATAAAATCTGTACTTTGTAGCAATTTTTTAAATCGTTGAGTCCCTTTGAAAGAATTACCACCAGTATGAAAATTTCTATTAGAAATAAGAAGCTACTGGATTCTTTTAGAAGAAAAAAGCTACTGGATCACCTCTCTAGACCTATCCTCTCTGTATTTCACTGAGACAACTCTCTTCACTGGTAAATGAGTGAGATCCTAGGAAATCAGCAACAGGAAAAGAGAGCCCAAAACACAAGTGTATGTTCTAAAGATGCTGTCTTTCTCAAAAGTGAAGGAAATGGATATGCTACTTTCTACTTTTCACCTACTTTTCCTCTATCCTCAGTGGGTCATCAAGGGCAATTTTTACTCACTATTTCAAGCATGAAATAAACAGATGAATATTAGGAACCAGAGAGAGAGAGAGAGAGAAACAAAGAAAGAAAGAGAGAGAAAGAGAGAGAGAGAGAAAACAAGAGGAAAAATCAGAGAGGTGCTAACAGTGTGGAGTACTTACTATATGCCAGGCCTTATACTACTTAGTTTTCATGCTTCTAATTCATTTCTACTGCAACTTTTGGAGGTACCTTACATGATGGAAAGCTAAGACCCACAAAGGTGAAGCAATAACCCAAGGCATAGCAAATCATATAGAGCCACTCTGTGTGATTAACTTCATTATCACACATGAAGGAAGGGAAAAGTGTAGACCTGCAAAGGTTCTAGGGAAAATGGATAGGAAGAGAATTCTTGAAGAATAAACTGAAAATCATCAGGGTCCTATTAATTGTATGTAATCCTGGAATGTCTAACTGGAACTATGGCTACGCAATGGCTAAAATGACAGAGATCTGGATGTCCTAGAATAAGAAGAACAGAGTTGAGAGGCTTAATCTATAACAGCCAGAGATCCTCTTAGGAGGAACCCATTGCTGAGAACTCCATCTTAGAGGGGTGTAGCAGCTGAGCCCATATATGGCTTGACAACTCTTCTTTTGCAGGGCAGATTCTTTGGCCTCTGCTTTCTGATCATCCTCAAGGCTAACTGCATATATTTTGCTTTTTCTGTGGCATTGATTCTCAATGCAAACATGCTAAATACAGTCAAAACTTTGACATTTGATCTCTAAACAAAACCTTGGGCTATTTCAAATGTTCCAATCTTTTGATACATGATCCCAGATTAGGGCTCAAAAGAATCTGGTATACACATGGCGGAAGGCTAGGAGTGCTTTTACAGAAGCCAGGAATGGCTCACCGTGCTTTCATCTGTCTGAGACTTCTGCTCCTTCACTCACATTCCATCATCCTCAATAGCTCCTCTGTGCAGAGGGAGTCAAGGTAGTGCTGCCAAGTAAGAATATATTTCAGATAAAAGCAGCAGGTAAAAAAATGCCGAATTAACTTGGAAGGCTGCTTTCAAAATTCTGTGAACCCAGAAGTTGTGGGTTGATGTCAAAGCCTTCCTGTGGGCTCTGAAGCTCAGTTTGGAGGATTTCTACCAACTCTGATGAAT